CGGCCGCTGAAGCTGCTGGCACACGGCGCAAACTGGAGCAACTGGCGCACGAACAACTGGTGCAACTGGCACATGGGCAATTGGAGTAAATGGCTCTGCTCGCCGGCAAGAGCAACTGAACACTGGCAACTGGAGCAACTGGCACACGAGCAATTGGAGTAACTGGCTCTGCTTGCCGGCAAGATCAACCGACTCACGGGCCACTGGCGCAACGGTCTCATGGGCGACTGGAGCTGCGGACTTCACGGCGGCCACTCGCCTTCAACCTCCTCGCATTGTCCCAAACCCCCTTTCACACCCCTCGGCATCCCTAGCGCCACTCCCTCGTCTCCCCCACACCCTCACCCCCCCCCTCAGCGGCAGCTACAGCCGTGGGAGAGAGAGGAGGAGGAGCAGCAGCTGATCACTCACGCTCGCCACCCCTATGCCCTCCCCCCCCATGGCTGCACGCGCAGCAGGGAGAGAGAGTGGAAGGCGAGCGGTAGCGGCAGTAGCTCCTCCCGCCACTCCCACCACTCCACCCTTCCCCCCTACAGCAGCAGGTGCGGCCGTGAAAGAGTGGAGGCAGGGTGGTGCTGTTGCTGCCACCTCTCCCTTACACCCCCTCCCCCCAGTGGCACGTGGGGCGCGCGGCCAGCAGGGCGCACGGGGTGCGTATGGCAGCACGGCGCGCGGGGCGCACGGGGCAGCAAGGCGCGCAGGGCGCTTGGGCATTAGGGCGCACTGGCGGGCAGGGCAGCTTGATGCACGGGCGGGCAGGGCAGCGCGACGCGCGGGCGGGCAGAAAGGGCAGCGCGCAAGGCAGCGCGCGGCGGGCAGGGCAGCGCGCGGCGAGTTTAGGGCAGCGCGCTGCGAGTTTAGGGTTGCGCATGGCATGCAGGGCAGCGCACGGCGAGCAGGGCAGCGCGCGGCAAGTTTAGGGTTGCGCACGGCAAGCAGGGCAGCGTGCGACAAGCAGGGCAGCGCGCGGCGAGCAGGGCAGCGTGCGACGAGCAGGGCAGCGCGCGGCGTGTTGGGCAACGCGCGGCGAGCAGGGCAGCGCGTAGGCTGCAGGGTAAAGCAGCGCGGGCAGCGACGCAGCACGCACGGCAGCAGGGCAGTAAAACGACGCGCACTCGTGGCGCGCAACAGGCAGAGGCGCACGAGGTGCTAGGCAGGGGCGCACGAGGCGCCGGACGAAGGTGCACAAAACGCCGAGCAGTGTGATGGGCGGCGCGATAGGGTGCGCCATAGTGGAAGCTAACGGTGGGCCCATTGTCATCGGTCCGAGGAGGAACCGCTCTGATAGCATGTTGAGAATAGAAGCGAAGAAGGAAAGGAAGAAGTGGATGTACTAACAGGTAGGTGGAGTACATATAGGAAACCCTAAAAGGGTTGTACTCTCTGTTGAGTACCCCACTACAACCTACACAGCAAATAACATCTTGACATGTCGTTCTTCTTCCCCTGCTTAAGCTTTGGGCAGTCTCTTTTCAGGTGGCCCAGCTGGTTGCATGCAAAGCACAGCCCGATGGCTCGGCTTGGCACATCCATGACGTTGATTGTGGGCTGCTAAGTGGATCCACGAAATCGAGGGCTCTCTCAAGAGCTCGATCTCGCCCACTGTATCTGCGCATCCGTTGACTTAGCTTCCTGGACGGCGTCGTTACATGTGCATGGCCGCGTTTGTCAAACCTCGAACCGTACTTCATATTTCAGGCCCGCCACGTACCGGTCCAATTGCTCCGCATCGCTCATGTCGTCCACTTGGTCCGCCAAGTTGCAGAAAGTGCTAGTGTAGTCTTGGACCGAAGTCAGCTGCTTCCAGGCACGCAGCTTCATGCGAGCAGAATCCGAGGCGGATACGTGCTCGAATCTGGTTCGCAAGAAGGCACCTCACTCCTTCCATGTGCGTATCATGGCCGTCCCGAAAATCGAAGCTGCTTGTTGCGTGACAAGCGTCAAAGTCCCGTTGTTCGCACGTGCTATTCCTGCCGAAGTCCCTTCGTCTTGCAACGTTCGTCGCCACCACTCCAGCGCAGGTCCTCGTAATAGTGATACTGCGAAATTAATGTGGGTGGCCTCATCATTAATCATAGCAACATTGAAAAACACCTCCATGCCGAACAACCATGCAGAAACAGTGACAAACTTGTCACTTGGGTTAAACGTGGGCAGGTTTGTCAGCTTAATTTCAACAGTTGTTGAAGCTGTCATTGCTGCTGGGACTATTGCCGCTAGTGGTGTCGTCACTGGAGTTGTCGCTGCTGCACGTGTCGGCGCTGCACGCGACTGTCGTAGTGACTGTTGCTGCTGTGCCTGCCTCGCATTGTCCGCATCCATGGAGCCTTCCAGCTCATCCCAGACCCGCTCATCTTTCGTGGAGCTGCTACTTGCGTCCTCAACGACAGGTGAATCCTGGCACGCTTCACCATGCGCCTAGTGTAGCTCGGCGTTCTACTTCCTCAGGCGCTCCATTTCCCGGTTATCGCTTGCATGTTGGCCTGCATCGATCGGAAGTTCTGCAGGAAAGCGTCAAACTCGACCTACTACATGTTTCTCAGGCTTCGTCGGACGGGTAGGGGTTGGTTAGCGATTTTTCTGACTTTGATGAAGGCGCAAACGCTATCGTAGTCAGCTTGAAATAAGGACGTGGGCCCAATCGAGTTTGATCGCCTCGATCACACACGATCAACAATTTCTAGGAAGCTTGGAAGCCAATTTCATGCAATCGGACCCGATTTTCACCCCGATCAGAGGCGATTTTCCTCGATCATAGGCGATCACCTGATTGCATGTGATCGGGGCCCACATCGATGCTTGCGAGTAGTTGCACAGTTGCAACTACAGTGAAACGATGATTTTCGCCAGGTGACGTATGGTCGCTAATCTGGCTAGAATGGGGACGAAGATGCGAGGTAAATGTACCGCGCTTACTAAGCAGGTGTTGGAAATCCTCTTCGAAAAACATCTCTGATCGGGCGGCTCGAGCACAGCAATCACAAGCAACCCGATCAGATCCGACCCGATCAGATCAGTCCCGATCAAGCTCGATTGGGCCCACGTCCTAATCGTATCTATTTCACAGTCCGATCGCTTTGCAGCCCACCAAGTCTATTGCACCCGTGTACTAAACTACCCCGAAAATGCGAGGGTAACCTAGAAAAGTAGCTCTCATACCAAGTGTTATGAGTTGTGAAAGAGAAAAGTGCGCAAAATGCAATAACACGGAAGTGATTACAACGTTTAGCAGATAATGAAGTCTAGGGCTAGTCTAGCAAGGCTACCTATGCGATGGTCGCGGGATCGCGAGATGGTTGGGTGCAGGTTCGGGGTTGGAAAACCCAAAGGCGACACGATGGTGGCTCGGAAGGCGAGGTCGTCGGACCGAGCCTGGTTTCCGAAAACTGGGCTGTACGCGTACAATGTGACCCAGTGAGGAATCCGGGAAAATTCCTTACAATTAGCCTTACCAAATTTGATTTTCTAGAAGTCATGTTGAACAACTCTAAATTGGGCTCGTGGCTATACGGTAACTTTCACATAGAAAAATGCGACAATTGATTTATGTTGGGCTGAGAAAAGCCCTTAGAATCTTTCAAGGCTAAGATTGTGATAGGAATGTTGTATTGCGGAAGCGTTGTAATAAGGAACCTTGTTGAACCACCTTGCGCTGGTATGTGAGGGCAAGATAGATTGATTATAAGGAAGTAATACAAGCTTTTATGAGGGTACAATCCTGTGGGGACACTTGCGTCTCAATCACTTCGTGACACCCAAAAACAACATAAACTGTATTGTGTCCCAAATGCGAATCGGCTTTCGACGACTTGTACTATATTTATTATTGGTCAGCGTGAAACGCGTTGACATCGCCTACGAATTGTGAATCGACCCGTCATTCGCACGCGACTCGAAATGCCCGACACGCCCACATGCACCTGGACATCCGAAAATGCCAATTTTGCGAGGGAAAATATCCCGCGCATCGAAACCACGCCCCTGCTCAGAGGTTGAAAATACGGGTGTACTGTCACCCAGTCAAATGCACACACCTGTACATCTCTTCTTGATCCCCGCCAGTGAAACGTGTCCAGCTGAATCTGCCAATATGTCGCCCTACGTCGCGGTACATTCGATGTTTGTGACACAACATTGGGAAAATGAACAGGCGCAACTCGGGAAAACGGGGATTGAGACACAAGTGTCCCCACAGGAATGTACCATAAGATTACAAGGAATATGAAAGAATGCAATAACTGTTTTACTGTTGCGGTTGCGGTTCGATACAGTGACGACCCGGGCAACTACTCAGTATCGAGTCAGTTGTTTGTCGTTGGTGTCGCGCTGTATTTGTCGAGTCAAAGGTCGCTGACCTTTGACCTTAGCGTAACCTCCGGCTGTTACTTTTCTGTTAACCTCCTTGGTTGACTCGCCATTGCTCCGCTGTAGCTTGCCTCGTTTACGGTTCGATGTTACGACACATAGGAAGCGTTAAATTACTTGTTTCCAACAATTTACACCCATGACATTGCATCATGTAGAAGCCCAAATGGAATGCCTCCACTCCTTGATGGATTCAGAGGAGAGAACTACACCATTTGCCATGCATGAACGGCTGTGAGAGATGACCCGTGCCGACAACAAACCCGTATCCCCGCAACTGCTGTGAGCTTCGCTTCTCCTGCTTGTTGTGCACTGCTAAACAATGGCACGGTCTTGTGCCAGTACTGTACCTATGCAACGCCCACCCAGGGTGCTCAGGGTTGCTCCTTTGCCTTCTGCGGCTGCTGCTTCGTTGGGCTAGGTCTATGCTACGTTGCTGCTATGCTACACCGATGCCTGTCACAACAGCCCGACTTTTGGGCCAAATCAAAAGCCTCTCTGTCGCTGCTACTATGCGGAGAGCAGTCACAACAGCCCTGGGTTGTCACGACCGCCCCTGCTGCCGCCGCAGCTGCTGCTGCTCCAACAGCACCCAAATTTCTCCTGTGCACTGCCTCATCCGGCACGTTTCACACTCATAACAGCCCTGGGTTGTCCCCTTTCATTCGAGCCGATGACGAGGACGATTGGGGTAAATGCCCGTTGGCAAGGATAGGAGGGCCGTACGATTGAAACAGTGCTGGGTGTGCTGCTGCTCCCACCGCCCCTGCCGCCGCCGCTGCTGCTGCTGCCGCAGCACCACCACCAGCACCAGCACCGGTAGGGCCAAAGGAGCCAGGCACGGGGACAGGCAAGGCAGGGGGTCGGGCTGATGCTGCTGCTGCGGCAGCGGCTGCAGCTGCTGCTGTCAGGTGAGGGAGAGGGATTGGGGAGGGACCCATGCCGAGCGCTGCTGCTGCTGCCGCTGCTGCGGCGCTGGTGGGAGCGAATGGGAGCCTGACACGTGGCAGAGGAGCCATGGCAGGGGGGAGGGCACCAGCAGGTATAGGAAGCTGTTCTGAAACTGGCTGGGATGACCCCCCACCTGCCTGCCCCTGCTGCCCTCCCTGTGCTGCTGCTGCCGCTGCCGCTTGCTGCTGGTGCTGGTGCTGATGATGCTGGTGCTGGCTGTGGTGCTGCTGCTGCCCTGTCCCCTGCATCTGCTCCTGCTGCTCCCTCTCCCCTCGCGCCTCCTGCTGCCGCACAAACAGCCCTGCCGGATCCCCAGCACCAGCAGCCGCAGCCGCCGCCGCAGCTGCCGCTGTCGCAGCAGCAGCAGCGGAAGCAGGGTGATCAGCAGGTTGCAGGGACGGTCTCCAAGAGGGGATAGGCGCTGCTGCCAGGAGCTGCTGGAGCAGCGGGCCTGCCTCTAGAACAGCCTTCACCAGCTGCCCCTGCTCAGGTAGCGCCTTCAGCATCGCCTGCATGTCCGTGTCTGGAGGCTCGGGAAGGTGCCTCTGACGCGCGTCCGAGTCGAGAACCGAGGCTAGGACTGCTGGGTCGAGGGTTGGTAGTGATGGCGGGAGCAGCATGGGGTTGAGAGTGGTTGGGATGGGTGCGGGGGGGATGGGCGCAGTGGCAGCAGCAGGAACTCCTGTGATGCGAGGGAGGTTGCTGAGAGCAGGGAGGGGCTGTGGGGGGGGGGGGGGCCGTTGGCAGCTGGAGTGGAAGCAGAGGTGAGTGGGGCGGGTGGGAGCAGGGAAGGGACGGATTGGGCGTGGGGGGGGAAGAGAAGGGTTCCACCTGGGTGGGGCACCTGCACTGGCAGCACCAGCAGCAGCAGCACTGGAAGCGCCAGCGCCAGCAGTGGCAGCATCAGCAGCAGCAGACGGGGGTGCAGTAGCAGCAAGAGGGGCAGCACCAGACAAACCACCCGCAGCTGCAGCAGCACTAGCAGCAGCAACCGCGGCAGCAGCGGCAGCAGCAGTTGCAGCAGATGAACCAGCTGGGATGGAGGAGGAGGCGAGAGAGGAGACAGAAGACAGGCCCATGGCATGCCCTGTGACCCCATTCCTCGGGTGGTGGAAATAGGAAAAGTTGGGAGGCAGGTGCTGCATCTGCTGGTATGGGTGGGCAGGGTGTGACGGGTGCAGAAGCAGGTGCGGCGGGTACGAGCGGTGGTGCGGGTGAGATTGGGGCAGCTGACCCTGATGGTGCAGCTGAAGGTGCTCCTCCTCCTCCTCATCGCCCTCATCATCCATCTCATCCATTTCCTCCTCGTCCTCCTCCTCGTGACTCCCTATACCACCACCACCACCTAGCCCCGCCCCGTGACCGCTCACATGTCCGTTTGCACCCCCGTGTGCCCTGTGAGTAGCATCAAAGAGACCATACTCTTCAGCCTTCACCTCTGCTACTGCCCACTGCCCTTGCCGTTCTCCCTGCCTCTGCCCTGTGTCTCCAAGGTGCTGCTGCTGCTGCTGCTGCTGCTGCTGCTGCTGCTGCTGCTGCTGCTGCTGCTGCTGCTGCTGCTGCTAGCTGCTGCTGCTGCTGCTGCTGCTGCTGCTGCTGCTGCTGCTGCTGCTGCTGCTGCTGCTGCTGCTGCTGCTGCTGCTGCTGCTGCTGCTGCTGCTGCTGCTGCTGCTGCTGCTGCTGCTGCTGCTGCTGCTGCTGCTGCTGCTGCTGCTGTTGCTGCTGCTGTTGCTGCTGATGTTGCTGCTGATGTTGCTGCTGCAGCTGCTGCTGTAATTGCTGCTGCTGTTGCTGCTGCTGCTGTTGTTGTTGCTGCTGCTGTTGTTGCTGCTGCTGCTGTTGCTGTTGCTGCTGCTGCTGTTGTTGCTTCTGCTGCTGCTGTTGCTGTTGCTTCTGTTGCTGCTGTTGCTGTTGCTGCTGCTGTTCTGTCAGTTTCTGCCTTTCCTGCTGCTGCACCTGTGCTTGCAACTGCTGTAGGTGCTGCTGCTGTGATATAGACATCTGCTGCTGCTGCAGCTGTTGTTGATATTGCTGCTGCTGTAGCAGTTGTTGCTGTTGCTGTTCCTGCTGCTGCTGTTGCTGTTGCTGTTGCTGTTGCTGCTGCTGCTGCTGCTGCTGCTGCTGCTGCTGCTGCTGCTGCTGCTGCTGCTGCTGCTGCTGCTGCTGCTGCTGCTGCTGCTGCTGCTGCTGCTGCTGCTGCTGCTGCTGCTGCTGCTGCTGCTGCTGCTGCTGCTGCTGCTGCTGCTGCTGCTGCTGCTGCTGCTGCTGCTGATGCTGCTGTTGCTGGGGATCAACAATTGGGGGAATCAGGGCCAAATCCTGAATCTCCACCATTTCCACCTTCACCACATCTACCCCCCCCAGAACGCCCTTGGATAATGTGCTAGGTGAACCTTCCCCTTTCTGAAATAGCTGCTGTTGCATCTGCTGTTGCTGCTGCTGTTGCTGCTGCTGTTGCTGCTGCGGCTGCTGCTGTTGGCCCTGCATCTGCTGCTGCATACCACCCCCGCCCCGCCCCTCACCTGCCCCTCTCTGCCCCACCCCACTCCTCTCCACCACCCCACCTCTCTCTCCACCCATCTGCACCTGCCCGATCGACTCAGCAGCCTGCATATGCAGCTTCAGCAGGCTCTGCACCTGCGCCTGCTGCAGCTGCTGCTGCATCCCCACCGGCAGTCCCTCACACTGCATCCCCACCAGCGGCATACCCCCGCCACAGTTATCCAGGTCTAACGGGGCGGGTTCTGACCCGGGGGTTCTTGTGACTAGGAGTGGGGAGTGGCCAGGAGGCAAGGGGGAGTGACCTGGGGGTAACGGGGAGCGGCGGTCCCCGAGGGATTGCAAGGGGGGTGCTTTGGAGAGGGCGGAGGCTGGTTCGGATTGTAGTTGTATTGGAGGGGCTAGTAACGGGGATGTTCTTTCAAGAACCGCGTCTTCGGTGGTGGGGTAGGTGGAGAGGACCATTTGGGGTGTTGGAATGGGGAGTGAGTGCAACGGCTGCTGCTGTGGTTGCTGTTGCTGAAATTGCTGCTGCTGCTGCTGCTGTTGCTGCTGCTGGTGCTGCTGTTGCTGTTGCTGGTGCTGTAGCTGCTGCTGCTGGGTTTGCTGCTGTGGGAGTGATTGCTGCTGTTGCTGCTGAACCGGCTGCTGCTGCTGCTGCTGCTGCTGCTGCTGCTGCTGCAGGATGCAAGAATCTGCTGAATCCTCCACAAAGCTAGACGCAGGAGCCAGGCACACAAGCCCTTCCACCCTGCCCTCCCTGCTCTCCCTCAGAGGGCTCGGCATCCGCCCACCCGCCTCTCGAATCATCCTCAGCGCCAACGGCTCTACCATTTCCACACGAGGAGGCGTGCCTTCGAGCCCACTCAGGCCAACTATCACCCCTGCAGATGAGCCCGGCATGAGTATGCATCTATCCATGTCACCAGCTGCAGCTGCTGCTGCGGCTGCTGCTGACGCGGCTACTGCAGCTGAAGCAGCTGCTACAGCCGGTGCCGCAGCCGCAGCAGCGCCAGCAGCAAGCGAAGCAGGGCGTTGGGGCGAGCTGGGCACGGAAGGTACCACGTGGGGGGAGGAGAGCACCTGAGGCGGAACAGAGCTGCGGAAATCACAGGCGGAGTAGGACCCCGTGCCACTGGCGCAGCCCCCCCCGCCGTCCCCTGACGCTGCAGCTACAGCGGGCAGTATGCGGCGGGGAATGGCGCCTAGCAGCGGGCCTTCGTCTGGTGAAGGAGTTGATACAGCAGCTGCTATAGCCGCTGCTACAGCAGGTGCTACAGCTGGTGCTACAGGCGGGAAAACGTCCATGGGCGTGGGTTGGCTCACGTCTGTGTCGAAGGGTGGTTGCTGAGGGGTAAGGGAGTGGCTCTGAGAGTGAGTCTGCTGTTGGTATGCCTGCTGTTGCTGTTGTTGCTGTTGCTGCTGCTGCTGTTGCTGTTGTTGCTGCTGTTGGTGCTGCTGCTGTTGCTGTTGCTGCTGCTGTTGCTGCTGTTGCTGTTGCTGTTGCTGTTGCTGCTGCTGCTGTTGCTGTTGTTGCTGCTGTTGGTGCTGCTGCTGCTGTTGCTGTTGCTGCTGCTGTTGCTGCTGTTGCTGTTGTTGCTGCTGCTGCTGCTGTGGTTGAGGAGGGAGAGGGGGAAGCGAGGAACTGACTGGCAGTTGCAGCTGCGATTGCACCTGTGGCTGCACCTGGGACTGCCCGTTTGGCTGCCCGGCTTGCTGCTGCTGCCGTTGCTGCTGCTGTTGCAATTGCTGCTGCTCAAGCTGCTGTTGCTGCTCCAACTGTTGCTGCTGCTGGTGGTGATGCATCTGCTGCTGCTCCTGCTGCTGCTGCAGTTGCAGAAGCTTCTGCTGCATCAGCACCTGCTGCTGCTGCAGCAGCAGCTGTTGTGGTTGTGGCTGCGCCTGCTGTGGTTGCTGCATGGGGGAAGGGGGAGGACGCTGCCTCGGCTGTTGGAGTGGTGAGGCCGCTACAGGTTGCTGCTGCTGCGGCGGCGGCTGCTGCAGAGGCTGCTGCTGCGGCGGAGGTTGCTGCTGTTGCTGCTGTTGTTGTTGCAGCAGCAGCAGCTGCTGCTGCTGCTGCTGCTGCTGCTGCTGCTGCTGCTGCTGCTGCACTTGATACGCTTCCACTGCCTGGAGCGCAGGGGAGGGGGGCGGCTGCTGCTGCTGCATAACCGGCTGCTGGAGCTGCTGCACCTGAGCATGCGCCTGAGCATGCACCTGAGCATGTGCCTGAGCCTGCACCTGCGCTTGCGCCTGTGCCTCTGCGTGAGCCTGCGCCTGCGCCTGAGCCTGCGCCTGTGCCTGCGTTAGCGCATGAGAGGGTATGAGCCCTTGGGCATGCAGCAGAGGGGAAGGGGGGACAGACTGCTGCTGGCCAGACAACGCTGCTTGCTGCGCCTGCTGCTGCGTTTGTTGCTGCGTCTGCTGCTGCTGCTGCGCCTGCTGCAGCGACTGTGGGGGCATGGGCGGCAGTTGCTGCAGCAGCTTCCGAGGAGCAAGAGACGACGTCTTGCCATGGGCAGCTGCACCTCCCACATCCGCCCCACCTACCACTCCCGGCCCTCCTGCCAATCCCCCAGCTCCTGCTGCCGCATTCTGCTGTGACAGGTCATTCCAGCTACCCACCCTCGGCATCCGACCCCCCTGCCCTTGTCCCTGTCCCTGCCCCTGCACCTGTTGACTTAGCTGACCCTGCTGGGTGGGAAAGCTATCCGCGCTAGAAGCTACTTCGAATCCCACCTGAGGAGACGAAGGCACGGACTGCACTAGCTGGGGAGCACCTCCCACCCCGGACCCTTGCCGAAGCAGCGAGCTAGGCCCGGCACGCTGCACCGAACCTCCTCCCGAGGCTGTGCGCACTGCAGGAGACGCAGGGACGGAACCCCCGCCAACGGCTGATGGTGGTGGCGGCGGTGCCTCTGCTACACCTGAACCCGTCAGCGCCTGCCCTCCGGTTACCGTGGGTTGCTGTGCCACAGGCTGCTGCTGCTGCTGCTGCTGCTGCTGCTGCTGCTGCTGCTGCTGCTGCTGCCCCTGCAACCCCTGCCCCTGCATGCCCTGTCCCTGCAACCCCTGACCCAGCATTCCCTGTCCAAGCATACTTCCCTGCATACTCTGCCCTTGTACCGATTGTGATTGCATCGAGGCCTGTGGTTGAGAACTCGAGGAAGGTCCCTGGGAGAATCCCCCAGGGATAGAAGGCAGGCCACTGGAGGAGGTGGGAGCCGTGGACTGGACGGCAGGAAGAGAGGCGAGGGAGGGATGCGAGGGAAGGGGCGGCTGCAGGGTCTGCAGATTCCCCTGCTGCTGATGCTGGAAGGGTGGCAACGATTGGGCTAGAGGCTGGCTGAGAGCAGGTGCGGCTCCCGTGCCTCCGCCTGTGCTAGTCGCAGCAGGAGCGGTTTGTGCAGACAGCAGCTGCCCTTCCATCTGCTGCTGCAGTTGCTGCATTTGCTGCTGCAGCTGTGTTTGCTGTGACGACTGCTGCTGCTGCTGCTGCTGCTGCTGTCGTAGCATCTGCTGCTGGTTTAGCACCTGCTGCTCTTCCTGCTGCTGTTGCAGGCTCTGCGAATCCACCCCCATCGCCTCCTCGTGGATCTGCTGTCGCTTCTGTCGCAGCAGTCGCAGCTGCTCCTCGCTCTGCTGAATCTCCATCGCCAGCAGCTGCTCCTGCGATAGCTGCGACGCCTGATGCGACGGCCCTGACGACTGCACCTGCGCGACAGCAGGCGACGACGGCAGCGGCTGCTGCGACTGCTGGCCTGTCGCACGACCCGTCGCCTGAGTCGCCTGCGACGCCTGCGCCTGCGACTGACTAACCACAGGCTCGGAGGGGAGTTCCACGATCACAGGAGCTGATGCCGATCCGGATGCTGCTAGGGCCTGCGGAGGAGCAGCAAGCATCGGAACGCTAGACGCTCCCAACGACGTCCTTATTTGGTGCTGCTCCGTCGTCTGCTGGCTCTCCACCCGCACCTGATGAAACACCTGCTGCTGCACCTGCTGCTGCTGCTGGAGCGACGGCGGCGGCGCCTGATGCTGCTGGTGGTGCTGCTCGTGATGGTACACAGTGGTTGTCTGAGGGGTCATCTGCCACGTGTCACCCTGCTGGAACTGCTGAATGCTAGAGCCAGGTGTCAGCGCACTGGGAGCCGTCTGCATGCTCACGGATTCAACCCGAGTCATGGATACTTTCTCCACCCGAGCCAAGACCACAGGCTCGGCTACCCGAGCCATGTCCACAGGCTCGGTAACCGTGCCTGTAATGGACGGTCGGATTAAGGCGTGAGAGTCCGATCGGGCTTGGTCAAGCTCCTGCTTGTGCTTCTGCTCCGCGCTGTCTAGTTGCTCTTTCAGCTCGTCCCTTTCCCGCTTCACCACGTTTAATTGCTCCTCCAGGTATCGAACCCGGGCCTCGTGCAGCTGTCCCTGTGCCGCGGCAGCGGTTCTCGCGGATTGTAGCTCTTCCGTCGCGCATTTCAGCAATTGACGAAGGCTTTCCACTTCCTGAAGCAATGGAAAAAGCACGACGTGGGTGTAAATAACAAGGACGGAAATGTTAAAAAGGAAAAAAAAAGTCTTGCACAGTTGAGGCATTTGCCAAGAGATAAGAAACTTCAATCAAAATAGAGATGCTTTAACCTTAAGTAAGCCTAGAAAGAACGGGGGAGTGGCTTAAATTATCATACACGAATGAGCAGAAAAACTACTTGCCTGTAAATGGGAGCAACACGGCTCGTGAGTAGTGCGATCCATTATAAACACCTAAACTACGTCAGACGAAAAGACGAAAGGAATAAGGTCCTAATTCGCTAAAAATCATCCAAATAATAGACAGGACTAACAAATAAGGAATGAAGGAAACCTAGTGGACTAAGAAACTTCCCCCATTAGGAACCTCGCAGCTACGATGCCATCGCCAACTAGCCAAGAAGGAATAGAAAGCCAAAGCAGCAGTCGATGCGAAAGTCGGGACCGGAAAAGCTGGGAAAAGCTCTTTCTAGGGTTTCCGAATAAGTGCAGAGCATGAGCGTGAGGGGGAAGGTGAGGGGAGAACAGTGAATGAGAATCACGGGCGAATCGGGCCGAGAAAATCGGTGCTACAGTAAAGGGAACCACATGATTGGTACAGTATGAGAACTGTTGTCATGCTGAGAACGGAAATGCTGAGAACAACTTTTCTTAGTGGTTGTTACGAGTGCAATTGAGTGAACGAACGAGAATTGCACTATCGAAGCAAGAATACAATGAGCGAGGGCGTGAGCGAAGAATATATAGCGAAACTACAGTGGTAACGGTAATGGTCTGTGGTAGTCGCGCGACGAGCCTGGGACTGAGGTTGGGAAAGTGTCGAGGCGTAGGCCCGGAGCGCGGGTTACCAGCCGAGCCGTGAGGTCGGGATGCGATGTGCTAAAAATGGCGGGATGATTGTCGATGCGATGATCGCGAGTGGTAACGGTGCTGACTGAGGTGCTACAGTGATGTACGCGTTGAGCAGGGATGCGAAGTAAGGAAAAGGGATTTTCCTTACACTACCCTCCCCCCCTCCTAAGGAGGTCCTTCTTACGAAAGTGTGTGGACATCTTTGAAGTTTCGGCTGCGCAGATATTCGGTGAGGACAGGGTGGTTTTCAATTCTGTCCAGGGGAACCTAGTTGTCCTCGGTAGGTGTACGGTCTTTCCAGCGGATCAGGAACTCGATCTTTCGGGCTCCTCGGGGGTCGCGAACTCTGTGACTCAGGATTTTGTCGGGGGTGATGATTGGTTCGGATGGTGGTCGCGCCATGCTGGATGGTCGGTGTCGTGGGAGTTGGCCGGTGGATGGTACGTAAGGGCGAAGCAAGCTGACGTGGAATGAGGAGCTGACGTACCAGTCAGCAGGGAGGAGGAGGTGCGCGGTGACAGGTGTGATCATGTGGCTAATTCGAAATGGCCCACAGTATCGGGGGCGGAGTTTTGGAGTGATGGGCAGGCGGAGGTTTTGAGTGTCGAGTAAAACGAGGTCGTCGGGCTGATAAGTGACAGGTCTGCGGTGGCGGTCGGCGTTGCGTTTAGCGATGATGTTCGATTTTTTGATTGCTTCTGCTGCCCTGGTCCGTGCTGCTTGCAAAATCTCGGCAAATTGTTGCGCACGTGGAACGGGGTTGTCGGGATTTGGGGTCATGGGTACTGTGGGGTCTTGTCCGTAATTCAGGTAAAACGGCGACTGTTGGGTCGTGGCAGATGGCGCATTGTTGTATGCGAATTCGATGAGTGGCAGCTGCTGCTCCCACGTGTTTGGGTCGTCGCACGTGGCCCTAATGAGCTGCTCCATGGTCTGGTTTGTCCGTTCTGTCTGTCCGTCGGTTTCGGGGTGATACGATGAACTGAATTGTAGTCGCGTGCCGGACTGCTGCCACAGGTTCCGCCAGAAATTGCTGGTAAACTTCGTGTCTCTGTTGCTGATGATCGATGCTGGTATCCCGTGCAGTCGACAACGGTGGTGATGAAGAGTCGGGCTGTTTCCTCGGCTGTGATTGTTTTCTTGCAGGCTGCGAAGTGTGCCATTTTCGTCAGTCGATCGACGACGACCAGGATCGCGTCATTCCCACTCGCCCCGGCTGGTAACCCCGTGACGAAGTCCATTGTCACTTGTTGCCAAGCACGCTTTGGAGGTGGGATTGGTTGTAATTGTCCCGCCGGCCGCTTCCTGGTTGACTTCATGAGCTGGCAAGTGGGACACGATGCCACGTGTCGTTGCACGTCGGTCAACATTTCAGGCCAGTAATAGTACCGCTGCAGCTGCTGCCGTGTTTTCTCTACTCCGAAATGTCCCGAGGTAACTCCGTCGTGTGCCTCCTGTAATAGTAATTCCCGTAGTAGTGTGTACCCTGGTACCCAGATGCGGTCGGTTCCAGCTTTTACGTAATAGACTCCCTTGGCTGCTTCGAATTGTTGCGAGTTTCCTCCTGTGAAGAATGGGTCTGTTTGATATCCGTGGGTAAATAGTCCTGTCAGTAGCGGACTGGTCTGGGCGAGTAGTATCGCATGGATCTGGGCAGTGGGGCGGGTCAGTGCGTCGGCAATATTGGAGGCTCCTTTTTTATAGGTGACCGTATAATGGAAGTTCGACTCGAGGAAGTCGAGCCACCGAATCTGTCGTGGGTTGAGGTGGGGCTGTGCACGGAGGTACTGTAGGGATCGATGGTCTGTCCGTACTGTCACGTCTGCGCCGGTCAAGTAGCAGCGCCACACTTTGAATGCATGCACGATCGCGAACATTTCGCGGTCGTGTATCGGGTAATTTCGCTCAGGCGGATGCAGTTTGCGTGATTCGTAGGCGATGGGTTGGAGGCCATTGCCGAAGTCCTGTAACAGTACGGCTCCGATGGCGATGTCGCTCGCGTTTGTAACAACCTCGAAGGGGCGATGTGGGTCAGCGATGCGTAGGACGGGTGGTGAATAGAGAACAGTTTTCAGGGCAGAGAAGGCAGCATGCTCTTTCTCCCCCCACGTAAAAACGACCCCCTTGTGAAACAAGTGAACAGGGATGACTAAGGAAAGATTGGGTACAAATACAACCCTAGAAACCCTGTACCCCATATGTGCTACCCCACTATAGCCTACAGCAACTATGTCATATAAATCTGACACACCCCCATAGGCAAAGTGGGGGAGAACAAGGGGTCACAAGACCAGTCAAGTAAAGCAAAGCAGAGCAAGCTTAGGGTGGATCACAACGTCACCACACAGTCCGAGCACAAGAGCAGGGCCAGAGGCCAGTTCACATGTAGGAGTACAGACATATATATATATAAAACTAGACAAGCAAGAGCAGGTATATATATGTCACAGTACAAGTAAAGTCAAGAGGAGAGCAAGTGAGGCAAGACAGGCACAAGACCCAGCTGGGTGCAGAGGCGCTGATGGTCACAAGGCGCGAGTGCCTTGGTGAACACATCAGCAGTGTTGGCCTCAGAGGCCACGTACGCAAGCCGCAACTGTCCACGCTGCTGCAGCTCACGAGCAAGGAAGTAGCGAAGAGCAATGTGCTTCGTTCTGTGCTCCAGACGCTGCTCTCGACACAAGGCCAGCATGGCCTTGTTGTCTACGTACAGCACTGGAGGAGAACGAGGCGGCTCTCCAAGTTCAGTCAGCAGGTAGGTGAGCCAGCGAAGCTCCTGTGCAGCCATGGCCCCAGCGTAGATCTCAGCCTCACAACTGGAGCTGAGAACCGAAGACGAGCGAGTAGCCCGCCACGAGACAGAGCCGGAACCAAGACTGAAGGTGTAACCCTGTGACGACCGCTGCGTAGCCTGGTCGTCAGCCCAAGAAGCGTCCGCGTGCCCTGTAAGGACCACTGGACTCCGCCCTCCAAGCACTAGCCCCATGCCCGACGTACTGCACAGGTAGCGCAACACCCTCTTCGCTGCAGCCATGTGCTCTGGGCGGTGTCTCCCAGGAGCAACATAGCGTGCAAGAATGCTCAGAGGGTATGCAAGGTCAGGTCGTGTGCAAGTCATCAGGTATATAAGGCAGCCAACAAGCTCTGGGTACGGGCCACTCGACTCTACGGACTCATCCGAAGGCAGAGCTGAGAGCGAGTGGCGAGTAGACAGAGGAGTGGCCTGAGGCGAGGAGTACGTGAAGCCGAAGCGCTGAAGGACCTGCTGCACCATGTGTGACTGAGTCAAGGTAATGGTGCGGCGTGCTCTGTCCCGAGTGATCTGCAGGCCAAGGTAGCTGCGCAGTTCACCCAGGTCTGTGCACGTGTGTCTCTTCAGCAGCTCGGACTTCACGTAGGCGAGACCAGCAGTGTCCGCTGTGGCAAAGACCAAGTCGTCGACGTACACGAGGATGTAGAACGGCGGCAGAGAAGTGTCGGTGCGCAGAAACAGCGACGGGTCAGCAGTAGAAGGAGCAAAC